TATAAAATAATAGTTATATGAATATAAAATTATTGTTCTTAACTCACTCTCAAAAAAATAATTTGGACTATGAAATACTGCAAAAAGGTTTAATATAACCCCAAAACAATTGCGAGAATGGATTAAAAAAAAAAATGAATTAAAAAATGCACCACCTTATATTAGATGGTTAAATATTGGTAGGCGTCCTAAGTATCCGCTTTTAGAAGCTGACCTTAAAACCTGTGTTAAATCTTTATGTTTATGGCAAAAGATTGTATCTCGTTATATAGTCAGAACTAAAGCTAGTCAACTTGCAAAGCAACCGTGTTTTCTCTCGCTTTATCCAATGATCAATGAATGCAAGTGGAGTAATAAGTAGGTTGATAGTTTTATGCGTCGTAATAATTTTAGCAACTAACGCTGTACTACAATAGCACAAAGATTGCCAGAAGACTTAGAACCTAAAAGTGATGGATTTTTAAGTCACATATTATACCATCGCATGTGCTACAATTATCCCCTTTCACTCATCGGTAATATGGATGAAACACCGTTAGCATTTGATATACCCTGTAATTATACACTTGAAGAAACTGGTGCTAATACCGTTGGAATCTGTACAACTGGTTATGAAAAATCTAATTTTACCGTTGTCTTAAGTTGTTTAGCTAACAGAACCAAACTTCTCTCCATGATACTTTTTAAATTAGTAAATGTACCATGACAGGTATTTCCACCAGGCATTGTTATACAAACCAATCCAAGTGGATATATGAATGCCGATGAAATGATTTTTTGGATTGAAAATATATAGAATCGTTGGGCTCCTTCGTCTATCAATCCTCGCTCATTATTAGTCTTGAATACATTTAGTGGTCATCTTACTGACTTAGTTAAAAATCGATTTAATGAGAAAAATACTAACATTGCGGTCATTCCAGAAGAACTTACTAAGAAATTGCAACCATTGGATGTATATATTAATAAGTCCTTTAAAGATAAGGTAAATGATTATTTTTTTACTTTTTATATAACGAATTGACGGTTCTAAAGAAAATCGTTATATCTAGAATTCATTATGGAAAGGTTCGCTATGTCTAAAGTTAATTGTATATATTTATTTAGCGAAACATTGTTCTTGACCCCATTTTCTAAAAAAATTATCAAAATAATTACAT